TTACAATAACGGACTAATACAATATTTGTCCTTTTGTGACTGACTTATTTCGCTCAGCATAATGTCCTCCAAGTTCATCCACGTTATGCGGTGTTTTGCATAAATCTAACTTTTTAAGGAAACACCATACTGCTTTCCATAGTGGTTGTATCATTTTATAGTCCCATCAGCAGTGTATGAGAGTCCCAGTCTCTCCACATACTCACCAGCATTTGTTGTTTTCTGTCTTGTTGAACTTTGCTATTAATGCTGGGGCCAGATGGTATCTTATTGTTGTTTTGATTTGCCACTCTCTAATGGCTAATGGGGAGCACTGGTAGCGTAGTGCCTAAGGCACTAGCAGCTAGCAGTTCAAACCCCCCAGCCGCTCTTCGGAAGGAAAGTTGGGCAATCTACTTCCATAGTGATACTGCCTCAGAAACCCAAGGAGGTGTCGCTATGAGTCGGGTCTGACTGGACGGCACGTAACAACAACAACGATGGCTAATCATTGGGAACATTTCTTCATGTGTTTCTTGGCCACCTGATATCCTCTTTGGTGAAGTGTCTGTTTTTGTCTTCTGTCCATTTTTGAATTGGATTGTTTGTCTTTCTGTTGTTGAGGTGTTAGAGTTTCCTGTAAATTTTAGAGATAGGTCCTTTGTCAGATGTGTCCTTGCTGAATATTTTTTCCCAGTCTATAGGTTTTCTTTTTACTCTTTTGGAGAAGTCTTTTGAAGCACAAAAAAATTGAATTTTTAGAAGGTCTCATTCATCTATTTTATCTTTTGCTGTTTTTCTGCATTTTGGATTATGCTTGATAGTCTATTTCTACCATATATAAAACCAAACCAACACCAAACTCACTGCCATCGAGTTGATTCCAACTCATAGTGACCTGCTTTGGTTTTCTTAGGTGGTAAATATTTATGGAAGTAGATTTCCCAGTCTTCCTTCCACAGAGTGGCTGGTGGGTTTTAACCATCAACTTTCTGGATAGCAGTCATGTGCCTTAGGCACTAAGCCACCAAAGCTCATGCCTCTTTTTTTTTCCTTAAGGAGCTTTATAGTTTCAGGTTTCACATTTAAGTCTTTGATCCTTCTAGAGTTAGTGTTTGTATATGGTATCAGGTACAGATCTTGTTTCCTTTTGTTGCAAGTGGATATCTAGTTTTGCTAGCACCACTTGTTAAACAGACAATCTCTTCCCCATTTAGTGGATTTCAGCCCTTTTTCAAAGGTCAGCTGACTGGTTGCTGGATCTATTTCTGGGTTCTCAATTCTATTCCAATGGATGTGTCTGCCATTGTACCAATACCAGGCTGTTTTGACTACTGTGGCTATATAGTAGGTTTTGAGATCCAGGAGTGTAAGACCTCCTACTTTGTTCTTTTCAATGTTGTTGTTAAGTGCCA